AATTTTAATATTATCCAAGAAGTAACATGTAAGATGACATTTGTGTCACCTGCCTAACACGTAAGACACCATCATTAGATGAGCCAGGCCATTTATCCTTTCCATAGCCACATTCTTTTGAAAAGCAGCCATGAGTGCAGGTGCACCTGTCATCAGGTTGGATAGAGTCTCCTGTGGCCATCAGCCTGGAGATCACCTTTGTCTCTCTTCTGTGCTGTTCACCCATTTCCCTCCTGTTTCCTGTATTTCTCTGGTTTTGGTTTCCACCATCATTTTGTGGTGTACATTCTCCTGAGGCTTCCTGAGAAAGAGTGAATGAAGATGTCTTGACATGGGTTTACTAGAAAACAAAACCCAAGGTAACTCCCAATGGCTATTTATTTCAGAGACACAATCCCAGATGTGTTAGCAACTAGTTTTATTGAGAAATAAGGCTGCTGTGAATTTCTTGTATTAGTCTTATGTTTTCACTTCCCTTGGGCAAATATTCATGAGTGGAATTGCTGGGTCATATGGTAAAGGTAGGTAGTAGTCGTTTCACACTGCCATAAAGATACTGCCTCAGACTGGGTAATTTACAAACAAAAGGGGTTTAATTGACTCACAGTTCAGCATGGCTGGGGAGGTCTCAGAAAACTTATAATCGTGGTGGAGGAAGGGGAAGTAGGCACCTTCTTCACAAGGCAGCAGGAGAGAGAGAGCACAGGGGAAACTGCCACTGTTAAAACCATCAGATCTCATGCGAACTCACTCACTATCATGAGAACAGCATGGGGGAAACCACCTCCATGATTTAATCACCTACCACCTTCCCTTGACACATGGACATTACAATTCAGGATGAGATTTGCGTGAGGACACAGAGCCAAACCATATCAGAGTATGTTGAATGGTATTAGAAATTGCCAAAAGTTTTTCTAAAATAATTGTGCCATTTTACAATCCCAACAGCAAAGTATGAAAACTCCAGTTGCTCCATGGCCCCTTGGACATCTGTGCTAGTATGTAAAATACAACTGACCCTTGAACAGCACAGGTTTGAATTGCAGAGGTCCACTTCCACTTATATGTGGATTTCTTTCAACCAAGTGAGGATCAAAATTACAGTATTCACAGGATGCAAATTCCATGTATATGGAGGGCCAACTTCTCATATATACAAGTTCCACAGAGTCAACTATCAGACTTCAGTATACACAGATTTTGGTATATGTCAGAAGGGGAAGGGTCCCAGAACCAATCCTCTGCAGATACTGGGGGATGACTGCACCATTGATTTGTGTATATTGATCTTGTATCCTGTGACCTTAAAAATTGCTTATTCGCTATGGTTTTTTGTAGCTTTCTTATGATTTTCTGTGTGAACTATCATGTTCTCTGCTAAGAAGAATAATGTTATTTCTTCCTTTCGGATTTGCGAATACAGATTTTATTTCTTTCTCTTGACTTATTTCACTGGCTAGGACTTCTCATACTATGTTGAATAGCAGTGGAGAGAGGGGGCATCCTTGTCTTTTTCCCAGTCTTAGACGTAAAGCATTCAGTCTTTCACCATTAGGTATGATGTTAGCTATATGTTTGTGTAGATTTTTTAAATCAAGTTATGGAGATCCCCCCATTCCTGGTTTTATGGGAATTTTTAATTATGAGTGAGTACTGAATTTTGTCAAATGCTTTTTCTGCATTCATATGATTATGTGATTTTTCTTCTATAGCCCATTAATATGGTGAATTATATTGATTGATTTTCAAATATTAAACCATCCTTGCATCCCTTGGTCATGGTATATAGTTCTTTGTATATGTCACTGTGTTCTACTTGTTTATATTTTCTTATGAATTTTGCATCATATTCATGAGAGGTGTTACTCTGCATTTTTCTCTTTTTGTACTTTCTTTGTTTGATGTTGGTATCAGGGTAATGTTGGCTATTTTCTGGAGGAGCTTGTATAATGTTGGTTGTTGTTAAGTATACCTCTTGGTATAACCTTTTTGGGAATTGTTCTAGTTATTACATTATATACACATACTTTATCAAAGTCTATTGGTATTGACATTTTACTACTATTGGCGAAGCATATAAACCTTACCTGCCTTTTTGCTTCTTTATTCTCTACCATTTATAATAAAATTGTTTTAAATATTTATTCAACATACATTGAAACATATAAACAGATAGGCAATGTCATAATTTTTGCTTTAACCATCAGACATAATTTAGAAATCTCAAGAGGAGAAGAAAAGTCTATTATATTTGCCCATATTTTTGTTCTTTTCATGTTCTTCCTTCTTTATATGCCAAAATGCCTTCTTTTATCATTTCCTTTCTGTCTAGAGAACTTCCTTTAGCCATTTATTTAAGGTAGGTTTGCTAGGAACAAAATCTCCTAGCTTTACTTCATCTGAGAATATATCTGTCTCTTGCTTATTACTGAAGAATATTTTTGCTAGCTTTAGAATTCTGGACTGACAGTTATTTTCTTTTAGCACTTAAAAAATGTTATCCTGGGTGGGCGTGGTGGCTCACGCCTATAATTCCAGCACTTTGGGAGGCCAAGGCAGGCAGATCACTTGAGGTCAGGAGTTTGAGACTAGCCTGGCCAACACGGTAAAACCCCATCTCTACTAAAAATACCAAAAATTAGCCAAGTTTGGTGGTGCATCTCTGTGTCCCAGCTACTTGGGAGGCTGAGGCAGGAAAATCACTTGGGTTGAACCCAAGAGGCAGAGGTTGCAGTGAGCTGAGATTGCACCACTGCACTCTAGCCTGGGTGACAGAGCAAGACGCTGTCTCAAAAAATAAAAATGTGATCCTGTTTCCTTCTGGCCTACATGGTAGCTAATGAGAAATCCACTGTCTTTAAAATTGTTTTTCCCATATAAGTAAGGCGTTGTTTCTCCTTGGCAGTTTTTAAGGTTTCTTTCTTTGTCTTTAGTTTTTAGAAGTTTGACTATGATATTTTGGCATGAGTTTCTATGGGTTGTTTTCCGTTCAGGGTTTGCTGAGCTTCTTGAATCTGTATGTTTGTTTGTTCATTTGCAAAAATTGGGAACTTTTTAGTGATTATTTCTTTGAGTCTTTTTTAGCTGTATCCTATTTCTCCTCTTCTACAGGACTCCAGAATTTTGTCGCAGTCCCACATGTTCCTGAGTTGTGTTCTGTACATGTGTGGTTTTTTTTTTTAAGTCTAATTTTTCTCTACTGTTCAAATTGGGTAATTTCTATGTTCTACCTTTATATTACACTGATTCTTATTCTCTTCTCTCCATTCTGCTTTTCAGCACATCCATTGAGTTTTTAAAATCAGATTTGTATTTTTCAGTCCCTATTATATCTGCCCATATTTTTATTCCTTATTTGGCTCTGTTTTGTATCTTCTACTGTTTTGGTAAGACTTTCTATGTCTTTACTACATTTTCTGTTTTTTCATTTGTCTTAGGTATGTTTGTAATTGCTTGTTGAAGTATTCTTAGGATGACTACTTTTAAATCCCAGTCAGATAACTCTAACATCTGTCATCTCAGTTTTCATATTTTTTCTTGTCCTGTTTGAAATCTTCCTGGTTCTTCGTATAAGTGATTTTTTTTTTTTATTTAAGAGGGTATATATTGGGTATTAAGTTATAGGACTCTGGGTCTTACTTAAATCTTGTGTTTTAGCAGACCTCCTGACGCCATTCTGGTAGGTTCCGGGGGCCATTGCCTGACAACTGCCAGAGGGTAATTGAAGTATAGGTTCCCCCTCTGCCCCTGTTGATACCTGGGGAATGGGCTTGGTACTTCTTGGCAGGGGTACTCCCTAGCTGAGAGGAGGCGGAGATTCTCATTACAGCCAGATGAGAGTGAAAATCCAGGCTCCCTATGTGTCCTCTGAAGATAGAGGGCAAGGTGCTTACTACCACCCAGTAGGGTTGAGGTCTTAGCATTGAACTCAGCCTTCTCTGACACTCCCCAGGCAATGGAGCAGGCAGTGATGAGCACCTTGTTACAGCCTGGTGAGGGTGGAAGTCTAGGCTTCCCAGTAGACCTTTGCTGGCAGGGGTGGTAATCGGTCTATAATTTTTTCTGCAGTATTTGGCTGGAATAGAAGAGGAAATGTCTAAGCAGCTACTGTCTTGCTAAGCTGCCCCTTTCCTGGTATTCTGTCTAGAGACAGCATGCTTTTTCTTTTCTGTCTTCTTTCTGTTTTTTTGTTTGTTTGGTTTTTTTGGTGTTTTGTTGTTGTTGTTGTAGTTGTTGGTTTTTTTTTGTTTTGTTTTGTTTTGTTTTGTTTTTTGTGGCCTGCTCTCATTGGTGTTTCTAGGTTCCAGTTTCTACAGTATCTAGTCTGGGATATGTGAGGCAAAAAGAAACTCCAGGGAACCCACCATTATGTCATTCCTCAAGTCTCAGGATCCTAGCTAGTCTGGACTTCGTCTCCAATTCTCAGAGTCTTCTAATATGATTTTATACATAATTTTTTCAGGGTTTTTCATTGTTCTTAGTAAGAGGAATAGGAAAAAGTATATCTGCTCTATCTTCCCTGAAGTAGAAGTCTCTAAATGTAAATGTTCATGAAGTTTAACATGACTACACCTACATAGCTATAATGGTTTTGATGAATCAAATGAAATATGAACTATACTTTCAAAGGTATGAGTGCATCAAAAAACCTAGATGGCGAAAGGAAAAAATAGCTTTCAGGAGGGAAAGCTGTATTCAAGGAAATCACAGAGAAATTTTTTATCTTGTGTAAAATACGTTTGCAGATTCAAGGAGAGAAGGTACTGGCCTTGAGTTTCTTAATGCTCACGCTAATTGATGGGAGGATTTGGCCACTTCTTGTCTTCAAAGGGAAAAGAAATCTGTATTTTATTTGAGGAGAGAAGTAGCCATACTGTTCCCCCTTTCCACTGAAACCTGTGGAAAATCTATCCCTGATGTTTGCGCCTCCTTAGCAAACACCCCCAATGGCCCCTGCCTTTTCTGGGATCCTGTTCTAAAGTGAGCTTCTGTTCCAGGTCGCCTGAACTGGTGGTCCACTGTGTGCACAAGCTGTAAACGGCTTCTTCCTCTGGCCACGACAGGGGATGGGAACTGCCTTTTACATGCCGCCTCACTGGGTAAGCTCTGCAGCACAGACAGAGGATAGCCAGGCTCCAGGCCTGCGCAAGGAAAGACATATGCTAAATAGAGTCACCCATGTCACTGTCATCTGGGAAAGTCCCCAGGAGATAGAGCTAACAATCCTGGCCCTTCTTGTCAAGTAGCTTGCAGTTGGTAGAGAGACAGAATACACATAAGAAAAGACCTGGCGTGAGAGAAGGAGGCCTTAAGCATAGCCACAGGGATGGGACTTAGAGACTATTGCCTGGTACAAATAAAAAGGACTTCCTGGAGGAGGTGGGATCTTTACTGAAACTTGAAGAACTTCAGAGACTAGAAGAGGACATTGCAGGCAGGGAGACCCCGCAGATAAAGCATAAAGGCAGGAATGGACAGGGTGTTTGGAGGTGGGGGTGAACAAGGTAAGGCTGCAGCAGGAAGTTTTGGGAGCAGCGCATGAGGCTGAGTAAATGAGGATCCACTATGTTGACAGCAGTCAACAATTGGTCTGGACTAATGGAAACAGACGTAGGTACTGCTCAGATAAATCACAGGGGAGTCAGCATACTCAGAATATACCACAGAGAGATCAGCAGCCTTGTCTAACAGAGACATGAGCTTCCCAATCACACAAAGCCACACAACACAGAAATATATGGATAATTGAGGATCATCATCCACTTTCTGGAACCTCAGTTATCCCTTTAGGCCCAGCGTTAGATGCACAAGGCCGAATCCATTTTGATAGGTGAGTCTGGGTTTGCACCAGGGACCCTCAGGGCTGGTTGCTCCCTACCCGCTCTGGAGGATAGCGCCTCTCCAAAACACATGACCCTCACACAGGAATGCGGTCCTTGGTCAAACTCGCATCCCAACAGACGTGGCTTTAACTGGGTGCTGTGACCTACCTCAAGGGCCAGCCCCCAGCCCTCTCTCTCTTTGGACCTGCAGTGAGGCCTAATCAGCAAGAGGTAGGTGAGATAAGACTGTAACAGACTTCAAGGGAAATACATCAGGGTTTTGGAAGGGTCCCAGAGGAGGATGGAGACCAAGAGCAAGGGAAACATTCCCCAGGCTTGACCTGCAGTGAGGAAAGGCAAGGCACCCACTTACCTGCTTCATCTCCATGTCATTGGAGCACACTCTGCTTGTTGGCATTGCAAAGGTACTCCACATTCACCATGGTGAGAAAATGAAAATCAGTGACCCCCACCCAGCGGCGGCCACTCTTAACAGTCTGGCGGTGTCATCGTCTTCCAATCTTCTGTCTATTCTTTAGGTGAAATGATGATCTTGCTGTGTTCACCGTCTTGAATCCAACATTTTCCCTTACGACTTGAGAATTTTCCCTGCTGTTATCCTTCAGACATATGATTTTCAGTAGTTGGGTCATATTTCATCATAGTGGTTAATATTAACTATTCCCCTATTATTGAGCATATTTTGCCTTGTTCTTTGTAAAACCTGGAGAAAGAATCTAAAAGAATAAATCTCTCATCTGTGTCAAACAGCAGCCTCATTGTGAAGTCTGGATCATGGAAGTGCTTTTGTGCCTTGCATATCCAAGGATGCCCAGCCAGTTGAGCCTTTGAAAACATGAGTTCATGTTACTCTCCTTCTGAAAACCCTCCAGAGGCTCACAGCTCCCTTGAGAGCCCCCTTTTCACTCTCCCTCTCCCCTCAATCCCACTCTAGCCATCTTTCCCTCTTGCCTTTTCTCAAGTACTGCCCCCTCCGGGTCTGTCCCTGGCTTTTCACTGTGCTGGGACAGCAACTTGACTCCCTCCTCCACCCATTTGAGCCTTTGCTCCTGTGTCTCCATTCATGCCACAGCAAATCTGCCTGCCTCACCTCTCCTCGTGGAGCTGCCACCCTTAACATTGTACACTCTGTGCCAACCTCATGGCTGCCTCACTTCCCACTTCCCCACAACATGCGCTGCATGAGATATTAGGAACTTCATGTGTCCCAGTCACTGCCACGCATACTGCCAGCGCCTAGAATGAGTGGGTGGGTGGATGAATGGATGGATGGATGGATGGATGGATGGATGGATGGATGGATGGATTCCCCTGTGCTTTCCCTTGTAGCCAGGGCTGCCCTTCTTTTGAGGGCTTCTCCCACAAGTTGGGGTTCTTGAACACATCTGAGCTGCCAAGAGCACATTCTCAGAGATGGTTCATTTGCCTCTGTATCCTCTCAGCACTTGACACAGGGTGAGACCCTCCCGCTGGGAAGCAGGCACTCTCTTGTGGGCCTGGTGTGTGCAGTGTTGTCACTGACACTCTGCTTCTCAGGAAGCTGAGATGCCTCAGGGCTGGAGATGAGGGAAATGGCAGGCCCTGGAGAAGCCAGGATGCTAATGGCCTCCCTCACCTGGAGCCCTCCACGAGGACACTGGACAGCCTGTCCCTGTCCCCTAGTCAGTCCCCCACCCAAATGTAAGACTTGGATAATGACCATTAGGTCCTCAAAGCAAACCAGCAACACTGAGAGTAGGTTGCCAAGGGCGCCGGAGAGGAAATGCACTTGATTTTCACCCACTATTATTTTGCTAAGAACAGGATGTGCTGCTTCATTCACCTACTTGCCTTAATGGGAAGCCTCAGGAAGAAGGCTGGAGGGGAATTAACAGAACAGCTGAGTAAGGAGGCTGCTCTGTGTGCAGACAGGAGGCCCTCCCAGTGGGTCGTGGTAGTTTGCATCACCTCTGGCTTGTCTTTTCCTCACGTCCTTTCTCTCCTGTGTTCTCCATGGCCTCCTGGCTCCAGGAATGTGGGGGTTTCATGACCGGGACCTGGTGTTACGGAAAGCTCTCTATACCATGATGAGGACGGGAGCCGAGAGGGAAGCCCTGAAGCGGAGGTGGAGGTGGCAGCAGACGCAGCAGAATAAGGAGGTTGGTATCCACTGGCATGGCCGGAGGCCAGGACCCAGGTCAGGTGCCGCCTCGGGCCATGGTCAAGTCCAGAGCATGGTCCCTAGGCCCCAGACTGTCTTATGAGGGGAGGCAGAAACAGCCTCTGGGATCAGGAAAGTCTCCTGTTTTTAAGCCCGTGGAGGAGGAGCCTGTTGAAATAGCGGAGTCCCGGCAGACAGCAACTATGCGTCCACTTGTGCTTCCTTAAGGCATGACTATGAAAGCTGCCTACCTTCATTCCCAAAAGCATCCTGGCTTGGATGATGAATTAGATATATGGCCGCCTGCTGTCAGGTGCAGCCTATGGCTTTAGCCCCTGTGTGTGAGCTCAATCCAAAGGGATTCCCAATTGTCCCCAAGCATGGTAAACATGAGGACCTTGCTCTTCTAGAAGAATCTGCCTGCTTTCTGACTACAGTTGATCCATTATCCCTTTAAACTTTGTAATGGCCAGCCACAGTTCGGTGCATGCACAGGTTAATGCTCGGCCATCCCCAGCCCCTGAGAATGACCCTTGTTGGTGGGCAGATTCCCAACAGCTCTGGAATTAGAGCTTGGAGCTTTTGAAAATATAGTGTGCATAGCAAAGGTGGCCAAGAGGGTGCCGTTAGTGTAGTTGGTAGCTACCTATAGATGTGCCTGGCCTGGGTCCCAGTGAGGCTGGTCTGGGTTGGGAGGGTGAGAAGAGGAGGGCATTGCAGCTGTGACCCACCCCCCTCTGAGCCAGTTCCCCTCTGCCAGTCAGGGCTGGTGTACACGGAGGAGGAGTGGGAGCGGGAGTGGACGGAGCTGCTGAAGCTGGCCTCCAGTGAGCCGCGCACACACTTCAGCAAGAACGGCGGCACAGGCGGGGGGTAAGTTCTGCCCCTGCTCTCCCCAGAAGTCACCTCCAGCTCCAGGCCACCCAGGGCTACACCCATCATGGGTGGATGGCACGGGGGGAATGTGGGACCCTCATGCTGTGGAAGACAGAAAGATTCCAGCTTTCCAGCATTAGCTTCAAGACAAGGATGCACAGAAGGACTGTGAGTGATGGCTGGCCCCTGCCAGGTGCTGGTGGAAGGGTACGCAGCCCCCATATGCACTATGCAGGCAGAGGTGAGCTCACATGAGCTGCCTCCAGGCCACTTTCCTTGAATGTTGTTATGCAGAGCAGGTGAGGTGTGCGCCCTCAGGGCACAGCTGGCCTCTGGAGGTCACACGCGATGGTGAGCGTTCCCACACATTGCCATCACGCGGACCTGGCTCTGAAGTTTGGATTTTCTCCCCAACTAATTAATTTGTGGCTTCAAGAAGTCACCCTGAAAGCAGAAGCTCATTAAGCTAGCCTGCTGTTTCCCAGATGAGCTCCAGGGATATTATATGTGTTCCCAGCAAAATGGTTCCACGTCTGTGCATGTTTAGGACTAGCTTGTTCCTACAGAAACACCTTGGATGTTCTAGCGTGGAATGAAGAGTGCGGCCAGACCAACGGGGCAGCCATAGAGCCTTGATCATGGCTTATTCTTCAGTTCGTATTCTCTGGAACCTGAAAGCAAAGGTGTTGCTCCTAGAAAAGGTCTCAGCCAAACATGAGAAAGTGTGAGCAGTAACACCAGGGAGACCCACGGAAGGAGAACTGCATGCAGCTCTAGGCTGCCCTCAGGCTCATGGGCCCTGCAGCGGGCACCTGGGTCCTCATCCACCCACCAAGGCAGGGCCTAGTGCCTCATGGGTCAGCTCTCCCTGGAGGCCCTGGCTGGAAAAGAGGCTCCCACAGAGCTGCAGCAGCAGCGGCGGCATCTGAGACCATGTTTACAGATGAGATCGTTAGAAACCCACATACGCTGGCACACCCTTCCTCCATGTTTTAAGGCTATGGTATCTCTGTACCAACAGTCTGTCTTGGTAGGGCATTTGAGGACAAGCATTCTGAAGTCTCGGTCAACTGGAAAACTGCTCTCTTCCTCTGCACGCCTCCCAAGTCCTGCCTGTGGTGGGTCTTAAGCGTTCCTCCACGTCGTTTTCACGGTTGCCTCTCTCCCTCCTGCCACAGGGCAGACGCCTGATACATGCTGGCAGACTGGATCCAGTCCAGGTGTCTCTGCCAGGGACAGGGAGGAGTGGGGAAAGACAGCAGCAGTGATAACAGTAATCACAGGTGATCATCACGTACACGTCTCCTGAGTACCCCCATCCAGGAGGAGCTTCCCCCAAGGTCCCATGGCTGGTGAGCCCATCTGACTCCTAAGGCCACAGCCTGGTCCCCTGCTGCCTGCTCCCTGGGGCCCGAGGGATTCAGATGCTAATGGGGACATAGGGGCCACTTGGTGTCTGTCCCTATCTCCCACAGAGTCTGAGTGATCAACTGTAATCTAACAAAAGGATGAGGTCCCTTTAGGAATATCCAAAATGGCCCAGACATTGTCCCGTTTAGTAGGATAGCCTGGTCCCCTCCGCCTGGAAGCCACAGTTCTGGTTGCCACATCACAAAAGAGAAGGAAGAACTCGGGGAATGGCCAGAGAGGGGAAACTAAACAACCAAGGGTGGATGGGAGTGACCCCATCAGAAAAGAATGGAGAGGTGAGGCGGGAAGGTATGGGTGGTGTTGGGGGAACAGAAGGAAGGAGGTGAGCACGGGTCGTGTAGGGTGGGGTGGGGTCGGGGAGACCATAAGAGGGACCCGTGCTGGGTCCTCTATCTCCTCCTTTCAAACCCTACCTCACAGGCCTCCAGTACGCCTTCCACAGATTGGAAAACCGAGCCTCAATGGGATTAGATAACTGTTCCAAGACCACAAAAATGATAAATGGAGGAGCCAAAAAGTCAAAATGTGGTCTGATCATTGTAGAGCCTCTTTTGACCAGGCTCCACAGCCCTAACGAAATCCCTCAAATACAGCAGAGTTTGTAGAACTTCAGGCAACAGATCAGCCTGCAAATGAAACCACCACTCTGGGCTTCAGATGGTGAAGGGAGTGAGGACACAGCCACCTGGTCCCCACAAAAGCACTGATGCTCAGGTCAGAATCCTGTGCCAGTGATGCAGGAGGCACTTCTAGGGTTTCAGCAACAGGTGTTTCCAGTGGAGAAAGAAAAAGGAAAAACAAACAAACAAACAAACAAAACACCTCAGAAGAGGACTGAACACATGCAATAGGAATCTATCTAACAGAGTTGCTTCTGTAGCCAGATGCCTCCTTGGGTTACCTGGAACCTTTGCATGGCCAGTCAAGGAGGGAGGCCTATGGAACCAGGCATAAAATGCACATTTTCCTGGGAATAGGGAGTTTTGGCTGAGTCCCATGGACTGGGGTGATGGGCAGAGAGCGCCTCAGCAAGGCACCCGTGCAGCTGTGCAGGACTCGCCAATGGTGCTCTAGAGTGGCCAACTGCTCCAAGAATTCACTTGGGGTTCAGAGTCCATAGAGAGGCCTGTGTGTCCAAGCACCGTGTACTCTGTCTTTTGCCTGTGTCCTCTCTCCCCATGTTGAGCTGAGAGGTGTGGGGCATCATCTGTGGGGCATCATCTGTGGGGCATCATCTGTGGGGCTTGAGAGCTGCAGAGATGAGTTTCTACGCCTGACTGAAGGGCCTGAAGGCAGAAACTGGCGAGCTCAGGGTTCACGGGGCTGTGGCAGGCTGTGCAGGCCAGGACACGGGGCCACAGGGGATGTAAGGCCAGGATGCTGTGAGCTGCCCGAAGGCCAGGCATGAATTCAGGGAGGAGGCCCCAAGCAGGCTGGCTTCACGACTCACCTACGGTGGGGACCACACAGAAGGCCAGCCCCTGAGGCCAGGGCTGTGGGTGGACACGAGCAGTCAGTGAGAGGAGTCACCACCGCAGCCCAGGGACCTGAGGACACAGCCCCTCAACTGGCAGAGAGCTCTGAAGACCCACAAAAACACTTCCTCAGACAGCAGGCCAGAACTGGGACCTCCAGCGAGCCCAGCGGGCCCTGAAGGAAGACAGCAAGAAAGACTTTGCCACTCTCCTGCCCCTCCTCTCTGCCTGTGCTAGCCCCACAGGGGACACAGACGGCAGCCAGAGAAGGGGAGGAGGCAAAGGGTGAAACAGAGAAGCCAGCTGGCAGCTAACCCAATCTTTCAGGAGGCTCAAACTTGGGGCTGATAGCCCCCTGCACAGGAAAGTGACCGGAAGAACCACACAAAATTTCCAGGGTGTCACCTGGGAATAGGAAAGAGCAAGTTAAGGAAGAGCTTGCAGGCATGATGGCGAGAAGAACTAAAGTGGCCTTCTTCGTCCCAGCCTGGGTTTCCCAGAACCTGTTCCCCACGGATGAGGGTAAAGGGGTGCAGTGTGGGCCCTGCATCCTGCTCTGGGAGCCCCTGCTATGGAGGCAGATGGGGCAGCCTCTGTTCTATTGGTCCTTGACACAGATGATGGCCTGGAGTCATTTTTAAACCTGTTACTTTCCCAGAAAGCGACTATGTCACTTATCTGAAGAGGTCAGAAGGGACCAGAGACCAGGTGTGGGCGTGAGCTAGACCCGCTTCCTCTCACTGTGCCTCCCAGGACTCAGTGGCCAGGCCCTGGCCACGTGGGAGAACCAGGCCTTCCCTAGGGCTTGGGGAGGGGTTAGTGAGATCAGATGGGAATTTGAACAGTGTCACCTACTGAGTCCATGTTATGTGTCAGGCAGTCCCATGAGCTGTCATTATCATCACCAATCACAGATAAGAAGGCTGAGATTCAGAGAATTAGATAATGTATTAGTCAGGGTTCTCCAGAGAAACAGAACCAATAAAAGACATATATATAAAGAGATCTAATGTAGGTATTGGCTCACGTGATTATGGTGTCTAAGAATTCCCATGACCTGGCACGTGCCAGCTGGAGACCCAGGAAAGTCAGTGGTGTCGTGCAAAGACCCAAGAGCCGGAGAACTGATGGTGTGGGTCTAGTCTGAATCTGAAGACCTGAGAACCAGGAGTGCCGAGGGCAGAAAGTCCATGTCCCAGCTCAAACAGGTTTGGTTATTCTGTCGTCCTCCACTGTTTTGTTCCCATCCGTGAATAGATCAGATGAGCCCCACCCACATTGGTGAAAGCCATCTGCTTTCTGCTCTCCAGCAATTCAAACGCTAATCTCATCCAAAACGCCCTCGCAGACACACGCAGAAATAATGTTTAACCAGCTATCTAACCATCACAGGTTAGCTTCCAGTGTCCCACAGGCTGAAAGATACAAAGCCAGAACCTGAACTTAGAACTGACCAAAACACCTAAGCCCACGCTCTTGACAAATGCAGACCAGGCATGAGGAGTAGGAATCAACAACTTATCTTGACTATGGTGAAAATAATCATTTTTGTTCTTTAAACTTTTTAAAGAACTACTTATTTGTTTTCTGTTTTATGAGAAGGGTTAAGTGGAAGCTGAGAGGCCAGTTGGATGGACAAAGAGGAAGGGAGAGCAGAGCAAGGGGGGCCTTTGGGGGACCCTCTGGCAGCCCCCGGGGCATCTTCTGTCTAGCTCCTTAACTTTTCTCACATGCTAACCTCTCTGCTTTCTCTCTGTAGTTGAGTTTCTGAAATTTCACTGACAATGTGTTTGCTGCATTTCTTTTTATTAGCCTTTTTCAGAAGTAGCTAGAATCCCAAGTGATTTCCTAGCACACAGTCTGAGAGTTGTCAATTTCGGTCAATCTTCTGAGGAAAAGCAAGAGGCATTTTTTCCTGGGAGATGCCCACACCACAGCCTGGTGCTCCCAGGCCATGGGTTGGCCTTGTGCAGGAAAGGAGGCATTCTTATGTGTATTCCTGAAGGTTCCATGACTTCCACCAGCAGACCAAGCAGAAAGAGCATCTGCTAACGTAAAGTGTCCTCACTTTGCAGATGTGGGACCCGGCTC